CAGCCTTCCCTTTTTCACAGAGCCAATTTATAGATTTCATATTCCCCTGTTAAATTTTTTAGTCTAAATTTCATGTTTCTTCTGCTCCAGGCCATGGGGCCCTGGGACAAGCCTCCACCTAGGCAGTCCCCCCTTCCCACGTGGCCCCAGCACAAGGAGGTCCAAAGGAGTTCAGAGGGGAAAGGTGAGCTCCAGGCTTTGGCTCAACTCCAGAGTGGGACGATTTATACTGGCAGCCAGGGACCTATCTGAAATGCTCTGACTTCTCCCAGCAAATGACTGTAATTGAAACAAGCCACACAAGAACCTAGAGCATCTAGAGCAGGACTTTGATTATAATGTGGGCCTGTGAGAGGATGGGGAGCTCTCTGCTCACAGTCACTGCTGATCCCACTGAATTATCATAGTGCTGGGAAGGAGGGAAGGGCGTGGGGGGGTGGGACAGGGGGGTTGTGCTGCAAGAAGCAGAGCACTGTTGCACCTGCAGTGAGCAGTACTTTCCTATGAATGGGAATTGACCCCAGAGCTCACCTGCACAGGTGACACTGAAACCCCTTAGGGTGCTGGAGAGGTCCCTGATACCAGTTCCCCCAAGTGAACTCCAAGCTAGCACTGCTCGCAGACCTGCACTGCAAGACAGCTGGCAGATGAAGAATCAGCCCATGGGTATCCTGTGCACACTCTCATCTGCTGGATATGCCTCTACCTGTCAGACAGTCCAGTACAGTTGCTACCAGCTACTCCCCTCCACAGCTGATGCAGTAAAATCCCTGGTGTCTTTGGGATGAAGAAATTTCCGCATGTCTCTGCATTTGCCTCTTACCTGCAGTGGATGACGATTGGCCCTGCATCCGGAGGCGTGGAAGCCTTCACTCTTCGGATGAAGGCCAGGAGCCCTGTGGCATGGTAAGGCACCCCATGTTCTGGCCATGAAGTGAAGTGGAACTGCTTCACCTCATGCCTCGCTGAATAACCCCTCTGCAAAGGAAGCACAAGGCAAAGTAAAGGTGATGGCCATTTATCTGGTATGCAGTGGCCAAGACTTGGTGAGCACACAGGGAGGGGAGGATGGAGACCCAAGCTTCTGATAGCTGTTCTGGAGTCCAGACAGGAGGAAACAAACGATTTCTGCTTAATAAGCAACCAGACTCCCTCTTGCTGGTGTTCCAGGGCACCTGGAGAATTGTGTCAGTGCAGGTGCTGCCCTGGCACCACATGTGGCAATGTTTCCCCTTGGATCGGTGGCAGGGGGCACATGTCCAAACACAGGTTTCTGCTGCTCTGACTGCAGTGAGCCAAGGCAGCTGCTGCCATCCTTTGAGGCAGTGAGTCACAGCAGGTGCCAATTGGGAAGGCTGCTCAAAAATCCTGGCCCCTCCTCCCTATCCTGTCTGGGTTACCGTCTCTCTCCCCCTACCATGCGAAAGCACCAGGCCTTTTTTATGGTTGACAAGGACAAGCTGCTCTCCCTGAAACTGCACAAGGGAATGGCACTCTTCAACCACACATTCTCTGACACAGAACTGGAGCATCCCCAGTGCTCCCAGCTCCAGGTAACCAGCATCCTGGGGTCACTATGTCACACCATCCACCTGGCTGACTGGCAGCAGTGCCCCCTTAACTCTACCCCACATGCCAGTCACTCAACACTGCTTAAGGGGGACCCTGGAAATACTCAGAATAGAAAATCCCCTGAGTAGTGTCATTCCAGGAGACCCTAGCATGACACTGCTGCAGTCATGTCACCAGGTAGGCTGCCTTTGCCAAGAGGTGACAAAAGACAACAGCATGTTAGCAACCAGCTAACAAGACATGAAGTCTGTGCCATAGCAAAGGGCAATAGAGAGGTTATAAGACAGCATGCCCATTACTCACTAACCATGTGTGCACATGCACTGTGGAGAGTCCCCTGAGAACTCGCAGGGATGTGCACGCTGGCTTAGCAAGCCTGATTCCCCAAGACTGTGCACCTAAATAAATCATTTACTATTAAGTCAGGATGGTAACAACCTACACTCATTTCAGGCAAGTATCGGTGGAGAATCTTGCCACACTTGCTTGACACACGCCAAACACATCATGGCTTTAACATGCCTGCTGGTTCCTTTCTGTTCTCACAATCCTCATAGGAAATCTCAAGGGAAATCTACCAAACATCTTTCAAAGGTGAGTTTGGAGACAAAAGTGTATAAGCTGGCCATACGCTACGAACCAACCACTGAACACTGGTACTGACTTTATGGCATAACTGTAATCTACCTGATTCCTGAAATTCTTCCTGCACCCTACAGGTGCTATTGACCCTCTTCTCTTTCAATAGGACTCGATCTCCCAATAATCATCAAGCTTTTTTCTTCTGCTAATTGTTTGTGTGGTACCCCTGGATATTTCTCCTTTCCCAAATTTCACAGATCTACCCCCTGTTCTTAATCATCACTGTGCATGCTTCCCACCTCACACCTGATGAAGAATGCCTTGCATTTGAAAGCTTATCTAACTTTATCCCAACAAGGCAGTTGGTCCAATAAAAGATATCGCCCAAAAAATTCTTGCCTCTTACATCATTCCTGGAGCTTCCTGGCTTCAGCATCACTCCAGCACTACCAAATATCGATCCCCTAGAAATTTAAACACATTGGTGCTGCGCTGGGTGGCCACTGCTAAGCCTTTTGAACCTGCAATAATATGGTTGGATGTCCCCAGTACCCTACAGTCACCTACAATTCAAGCTGCTGTCCTATCGAGCACAATGGGGTTAAAAATAAACAAGCAATGATAAGGAGCCCTTTCAGAGAGCCTACAGGGCAGTAATGAATCTGTAATGAAAGGACTAGTTCCACAAGACCCTTCGGCACCTAGCTCGTAACCAGGCAGTAATTTCGTGTTCCTGTAGATTAGGGGGTAAATTACACTGGTTATGTCCCTGGCCACCGTACTGTACAGTAATTGCTATGTAACCTGCACCTCAAACTAGAGGATGGAGATCATCATTCATCCCCTCTGCAATTATATGGTGCTTCCTCTGAAATTAAATGATCAACACTGAGTAGATAAATAAGAAGCAGTTCTGTGCTGTTCACCTATAGGATCCATTCTGCAAGGATCTGAAGACATGGATCCCCAGGGCCTAACTAGGGATCACAGAAGGCAAAGTGGGGAGCTCACACTGAACAAACCTCAGCCTTCCTACAGGTAAGAATGATCAGACAGAGAAAGAGACTCCCCAAAGAGAATCCTGCTTTTTGAATCATTTCAGTAGGATGCTGGAGAATATGCCACAGGGAGTAATGCTGGCATGGCTAAAGATGGCTTGCAGGACACATAGCTCTGTATTAGGAGGACCTCAAACATTTCATACTTTAGTACAGATGGGAGTCTTTGGATCAGGCCCTTTGTAAAGTACTAAACAGCTACAAATTGCTGGGATCAGCCCCAGAATTGTGGGCCAAACCCTTTTCTCAAGAACAGAGTGACTCTGGAGTGGTGCCACTCAAATCAGTGCAGTTGCTCTGGAATAACATGGGTGCGTGAAAGTACAGCCCATTTGGCTGACTCCAGCAGAGGCATAGATACACACTGTATTACTATATGATGGACCCTGTCTATCTGCCTGGCACCTGGAACCTCCGCTATGCTTGTGGATTTTGCTGTCTGGGAGCATCCCCTTCTCTGGGGAGCATGTCTTTGGCTGAGACCAGCCATGTAGTAACGTAACCAAAGACAGAACAAAGGGACTCATCCATCCTCAGGACAGCAAGCAGAGCTTCAGAAAGCAGACACTTACCCTTTCCAGGGTGAATGTCCGTACAGAATATTCTGCCAGTGTCTCTGACTTCACCAGGGTGATTTTGATGTCTCCGTACATTTCCGAGTCATCCGGCCAGTACTTGGAACACTTCACCTGCAACAAGCAGACAGACCACACTCTACCTCTGCAAGAGAACATGTCCTGGCAGAGCCAAAGCCAGCAGAGAGAGAAACAGAGCACTCCTTACCCTTCCCACCTCCACCAGCTTCGTTATCATCACTATACTGGAACAATGCTCTTGCCACACCATGCGCCAGAAATCATATACCATTTCCTGCTTGGGACCTGGCGGACATAGAGGAAAAGAACTGAGAAGCCCTTGGGAGTACAAAGATGGGTAAAAGCCCATTATTATAATTAAACTACAAACAACTTAAAGAGATCAGGGCCCCGCTGTGGTACGCATTGCATATACACAAAGGAACAGGTAGTCTCCACTCCACAGGCTTTCCCTTTCACTCTTTCTTACAGCAACTGTTAGGAGTTTGAAACCAGGATCTCTCTCCTTGTTGAACTAGTTTTCCCTGCTGAGAATACTCTGCCTTGGCAATATAGGACTGCCTGGGAGTAATAGCTTAATCTGTGAAGTCTCGTGAGAGCCCTAAGGAGCGCACAGTGGTTTGTTGTGGAAGGGTTGCATGCATTGGCTTGTTCTGGCAAGGGTTCAGGTGGAATTGCATGCACTGCCTTGACATTGTAGGGTTGCTTGGGGGTGCTGGGCTTTGTGAATCTGTTTAAACAGGAGGGCTGATGCAAATAGGTGATATCTGTGAGCTGAGCACAGTCCTGGTGAGCCAGTAAAGTGGGGTGTTGGGACAAAAGGGTCAAGGAAGCCTGCCTTTTTCTCCCTGAAACAGCCTCTAAACAATGGGAATGGACCCATCCGTTCTAGAGGGGGCAGTCTGTTAGGGCTCCTCCTGGAGCACGGGAATCAACAGGCAACCTCGCATATCTTGTGCATCAGCATCACCGCATGTCTCTGCACTGACAACATGGCAGCAGGGCACTTTAAAATAAACCATGTCCGAAGAGCTTTCGTTCAAAGCGCCCCACCGCCATTTTTTCCAACACAGGGATGCGTGGCAATGCTGATACATGACACGCAAATGCTTTTACTTAATGTGGCTCACTAATTAAAGTGCCTGGCACTGCACCAGAAACACATGTAAAAATGCCCTTAGTGGCCATTTCAATCAGATACAGTACTTTACTCCACTCCAGCCCTGTTCCCAAATCTATTCCATACTTTTGACATTCTCAGTTTGCAGAGGTCACTGCAACCTTGCAGGGAGAGTGGTGTCATACAAGTGGATCACAAGTGAATATTACTCGTGATCACGCTTGAATTTCCAACTGAGCAAAACAACAGATTGCTTGGCTTGGCGCTACTGAGCTGAAATAATTTTCAGAAAGCTTCCTCCTTGCTCTGCACTGAAACAAGTGATCCCTGCCCTGCCTTAACATATTCAAAACCAAATCCCTTGGAGGAAAAAAACTGTTAGGTAACTACAGGTAAATTACTGGCTACCCAATCACTGTGGGAGAAATGGAGTAAAATGTGAAGTGTGGATGCGGAAGATAATTTACCTTGAGTGGCTATGAAGTGGTTGGATCTGTGGTAACCCTGTAATGGAACAAGACTCCATTAAACCTCTAGGGAAGGATACATGATCAAGAAACAGCTCATACACCATCAACCTCATTGGGGACTGCCATGAAGACCCTACTCCCATTGATCAACCCAATGGCCAGCTCATAAAACCACTGGACTATGTGTTCAGTGTACAGAGGTAACTACTTCCCAGTACTCCATGTTCCCCCATATAGAGCTCCCTCAGTGCTCTCTCGGCCACAGGAAAGACTGGAGGAGGTGACAGCCCACCCAAGCTCATGTCTGACCAAACACTACTCATTGAACACCAGTTTACAAACCAAGTCCACTAGGTACACAGAGCACACAAGCCTTTTGCTCTGAACTCTCCTAGGGTCTATCAACACGAGAGATAACACCTGAGCCATCAGGATGTTAGTCTATAGGAGGCCTGACCTCAATACAAGACTTTCTAAGGCTCCATATTGATGACATTTTGTAACTGTTTGTCCTTTTGGACCTTGAAGACTGGGACTTGTTGTGCCTAATAAAAGGCACTATTGACCTCTCTGAGCTCCCCACCCCGCAACATAACTTTCCTATCAGCAAAAGCAATCCTACCCCAGAGCAGAAGCAACCTCAATCCCTGTCAAGAGCAAAATAAAGCAAAGTCTGAATGCACTGCTGGAAGCAGTGAATGGGTTGACATTTGCCGTTTAGTTAGCTTGGGTAGATTTGGACCTTATAGACTAACCAAAGTAGATATAGATATATATCTATATCTATCTATATCTATCTAGATAGATATAGATAGATACATATAGATATACCACAAGCTTTCATCAGCTGAAACTCATAGCATCTGATAAAGTGAGTTTTAGCTCAAAAAGTCATATATATAACATAAATAAATAAATAAAAGGTGAAAGTCTATAAAAAGGTGAAAGTCCATCCTGCCTTCTACTTGACTTCAGACTAACATGGCTAACGATGTCTCTTTAGTTAGCCACACATGGTGACTCCTCTCCTGGTTGCTAGGGCACAGATGATAGCAAGAGACCAGTCTTCCTTCTATGCTTGTGAGGGGGAATGAGAAAAGAGAGGACAGGGAAGTAGAAAGCAAGAGGACAGAAAGAGGGTGAGGAGGTAGGAAGGAATAAGGATGTGAAGGAGGGCACAGGACCATGGAAAATAAGGTTGCGGGGGGCATGCAAAGAATGGGGAAAGATGGACAATCAGAGGAGAACAGGAATTTGTAGAGGAAAAGAGAGTGCAGGGAGTAAATAGGATCCCGAGAAGAGGAGGGCTGGGGGAGTGGGACTCCACTGCAGAATGGAGCGAGGACCATGAGGGGACACCCAGCTACTTTTCCAGAGCAGATTCTGCCAACCAGCCCTGCTCCATGTTCTAGCTTGCCACGCGATGCCCAAGCTCTCAGTTCCCTCCACACCTCTCCATCCACAGCTACTGCTGTGTGCATAGCATGGAAGTTGGAGAGAAGCAGTAAAAGCAGTGGCATAGGCACTTGGAGGGCAGGTGTCAAGTCCAAAGGCCTCCTGCTCACACAAGCAGCACTGACAAACGTTTTTAAGACAGCAGGAAATGTCATGGTGAAAGCCCTATTAATAATATCCCAGTCCAAAGCAGCCATATGGCACTGAATAATGGCCCAACTCCCCTCATTCATCCAAGCCATTTACTGCAAACATTATTAACTCTTAATAGGAAAGTGTCAGCCTAAATAGCAGAGCAAATCTTAACAAGGCCAATAACAGGACAGGAAGGGTTCCAGCTGTAACTGCAGAACGTGCCATTTCAGCTGGGTTTGTTTTCATGTGAGAGTGTTTTTTCCTGGAGGAAAGAAGCAGACTTGACCATACTGTAATGATGCTATTTCAGGAAATCGATAAGGAAATTAAAAGAAAAAGAAAACCCTTGACAGCAGCAAGATTGATTGCCAGGCTCACAAATATGATCTTGCTGCTTAGGCGGAAACAACTGCAATCTGGGTGATGCTGAGTTGAGCAGACTACGAACCTGATGTGTACTTTCTTTGCTAGTCTGGTGTTGATGCTGTTGTGAAAGTCCAACCAGTGAAGGAGGGGTGGTGCTTGCACAGAAATAACATCCTGGGGATTGCTCTTATTCTAGTATGAAGGGCTTTTATTTTATTTAATCATTTATTTACTTATTTTCTTTATCTTATACCCCCTCTGGAGGGACATATTTTAGATCAAAAAAGATCTTGGGACAGAACGATGTATGCCTCTCCTGTATCTGTTTGAATTGACAGCCTAGGCCAATGGTTCTCCACTGGGATGCCACAAGACCCCCTCAGGGGTGCTGAAATGTTGGCACTGCTGCCTGTGGCAGCCAGGTAGAACTGCCCTGCACACAGCGTTGTCAGACGCATGCTCCTGCTTCATTAGGGCTCTTTGATCACCCTAAAGCAAATGGAGCTGGCTCAGCTTATGAACCTTCCCCATCCATCCCATCCCTCACACTCATCCCAGAAACAGCACATAGGACAGCTCCCAGCAGCGGTAAGGTGCTTCTACCTGCAGGCAGCAGCACCTGGTTGAGAAGCACTAGAGTAAGTTGAGGTAGCATCATCAGTGGTTCTCAACTGGGGATGATGCTACCACATTCATAAAAGTGGTGGAGGGGTGCTGTGACTGAAAAGACTGACAACCACTGGCCTGGGCTGTATTAAACACGCTTGTCCTGACAGAAAATTCGTTAGCGTAAACACCCTCTAGGTCTGCTTCTCCAGCCATCCCCATCGTGCTGTCCATGTTCCTTGCAAACATAATGGGGCCTGACTGGGCCTGGCCACTCTGCTCTGCCAGTGTAAGGGGGTCTTGCGGTTGGAGTGTGTGGAAGGTATGTGCACTCAAAGGCCCATTTAGATGGTTCATTTCTGGAGAATGGAAATAAGAATCAGACCCTAACAGACTCATTCTGACAGCTGTCCCCAGTGAGGTCGGGAAGTAGTATCCTCTATTTGTAAATGGGAAACTTGAGGCACAGGGGCTAGAAATGATTTCCCAAAAGCCACATGTCACCTGTAGGAGGGGCAGGAATCGCACCGCAGTCTGGTAAGGTGCAGTGAAGTACCATAACCACACAGGCAACTCCAATGCCCATCTGGATCAGGCTGGTAGCACAAGCCGGAAAGATAAGCGTCTTGGGAGGAACAAAGGGGAACAGGAAGAGAAGAGAGGATAGGGATACAGTTTACTTACTTCTCGGTTTATCCGAATCTTAACGATCCCAATCGGACATAGGTTCAAAAGAAAAAGATCAGAGACAGAGAGATTAGTGAGGTACAGTCCAAGAAACAGATTAGAACATCGGCAGCAGCAAGAGCGGGTCACAAAGAGAGAGGAGGGGGCAGGAAGGGGCACTAACCAACCTGTACAGAGACTGTGGAGTGGTCTTGCTCAGACCTTCCTGCTGCGGGGCCCTTTCGAGTACCCTGAGCTGGGAGCCCATTGGGGAATAAGGGAGATCTGCTCTATTTCAGACAATTTTACAGAGAAGTCATGTGTGAATCCCCAGATTCAGCCAGGCTCTCCCAGCTGTGTAGTTAACCGACTGGTGCCAGCAGGCTAAAAAAGGCCATGCTCAGCAATCACTGATGGACCGAGGACACTCTTGGGCTAAATGTCTATGAAAAAGAGAGGTGGACTGACCTAGTGTGAGCCAGGAATGTCTCTCCTACAGCTATACCCATGCACTTTCAGCCTGAGTGCAGCTATACCCATGCACTTGCAGGCTGATTAATCCAGCCCTGAGTTCCCTATCCCACTTTGTCCATACATAGCATCCTGACCTGCTGCTCACTCCATTCCTCTGGCCCTGCTGAACATCTCCATCCTGACCTGCTATATACTGCAGCATTGAGCTACCCGCTCAGCCCAAACCATACTCCTCACTCCCAGCCTACTTCATCCCTATATCCCATTACTTGGGGAAAGGCAGGAAGGGGTCCCGGAACAAAAAAGTGACACCTTGGTCCATGGCAATGAAGGAGGAAGAAAAAGACCTCAGGAAAAAAGATGGAATGACAGAGAGAGAGAGACAGAGAGATGGGGGCGGGGGAGAGGAAAGGAGGGAGGGATAGAGATAGTGTCCTTGGGGACGCAGAAAGAGGAAGATAAAGAGCATGAGCCACATGGGCTCTAAAGCCTTGTGCTCTGTCAGACCGACCAGGAGGGTTTGTTAGAAGAATGGGTTTTGGTGGGTATGGCTGCAGTCGTCATATCTCTTCCACATGTCCCCTCTCCCTCTACACACTGCTTGGATTTCTCTTATAGAAACATGTGCAGCCACAAATGGATCTTGCAGGGTGCCCATCTCATCACTACATGCCTCCCTTCCCTGCACTAAGAGAAGACAGTGGGAGCACTAGAGCGCTGACCCCGTCTCCCCGTGAAGACTGAGGTCACCCCCAGGTACTCACATCAATGTAGTTAGCATTAATATAATCCGAATTGGGGTCCCCAAGCAGCGGGTGGAGTTTGACTCGATGCCGGTCATCTGGAAACCAAATCAGAGGAGATACTGTGACATCATGGAAAGGCTGAAGTGTGCACAGGTCAGGAACTGGGCCTTTACACTCTCCCCCACCCCTCACCACCCTTCCCAACACTTGCTTTGGAAGGAAGGGACTTCCTTGACTATTGAAGCCCCCCACTCCTGACCCACAGTGCTCCTGCCCCCACACCCTGTCTTGACCCTTTCTCATCCCCAGCTCTGCTGACGGCCCTGATCCTGATGTGTTGTCCTCCTGCCATTCTATTCCAGGACCTCTCCTGAGCAGTGAGCTCCTGCCCACGATGCTGAACTGACTAACACTAAGGCAAAAGCTGTGGGTCATATCCCCAGACAACCCCTTGTCATCACAGAGCACCAACCTGGGTCCTACCTACCAGAAGGCTCCCAGAGACTCCTGTATTATGGACACCATAGAGAGCTCTTGCACTCTGTTGGATCTACAGAGATGAGACCAAGCAGGGGGAGCTCCAGCCCTGCAGATACCAAGACAGATGCACCAGGTGGCAAAGATCCACTTGTGTCTAAAACCACAGGCTGAACATCACCGCCTTAGGCCCCAGGGTGCAAGATGCTGGCCATGTGTTGCTTCCTAAAGAGGCCCCTCAAGCTGCTATCAGGTTGTGGCCATTAGAGTGAACAATCCCTTCAGGGACTAACAAGTGTCTCTCTAGTAGGAAATAGCTTCCTTAGGAGCTGCCACTCTGGAATGGCTGCTCCCATCTACATGAGTTAAGGCCAAATCTTACTCTAAGGCCCCCTCTATAGTTTATGGGCATCACACAATTAACTAGTTAATTATGCAGTTACCTTAAGACCAGCTACACATACAAAGTAGCTATCACATGATAACAAGCTCCAACCAACTATAAAGTTCGACCTCAAAAATGTGTACTAACTTAACAGCTGGTTGCTATTGAGCTTTAATTTGCATGTGTAACAGGCTGGGAGACCCATCATGTGACAGGTCCCCCAGCCACTGGGTTGCATCATGTCCAGTGTAAAACCCCAGAGCCCTGGGGATCATGGATGCCATGAGCCCCAAAGGCTTGGGGGTGCTAAAACCCCACAACCCTGGGCCATGGGGAAGGCAGCTGCCATAATCCTAAGGGCTGTGGGGGTGCATGAAACCCCTGGGTTCACATGTGCAGCTGGGACTGAGAGTCCCTGCACCTTGTACCTGACAGGGCTCTTGGTCCCAGCTAACAAGAATCCAGCACCTGACAGGGCTCTCTGTCCTGGCTCCACATGGCCCCCATGCTGGAAGCCCCCACAGGAAAGGGGGATCCCAGCCTTGGGAGCTTGCTTCTTGCCCGTGCAAGGGGAGCCCAGGATCACCTCCCTCTACACCAGCAATAAGGTGTTATTGGATCTAATGTGCAGTCCCACAATCGCACCTCCTGCTATGCACATGTGGCGTGGCAGGAGGCACAACTGTGTGAATCGTGCATTAGATCCAATTGCACCTTTACCTGCACATATAGAGGGGGCCTAAAATCCACTAGGTCTAAATCCCAGGGCACTCCAATGACTCCAGTTAACTTTGTGCTACTGATTCTCATGATAGTTGGTGCAGAAGGCTCTAGCTCCTAGAGTCCCATGACCACATAAAACTCTTGCAAACAAACAAGAGCTGGGTGCGCTCTAATGGCTCAGAAGCCAGAAACCTACTAATGAGATCCTGACATCTGTCAGCATTAGTATACAGAGGTGTTTACGCCATTCTTGTGATTTCTAGGGCATAACACGATTTCTGAATCTGTAGGATCTCGAGTACTGCAGCTTATCTGAACCAATGGGATTTACAGCAGTGTGTAGCACAGAAGAGTTTGGCCACAAGAGTCTGAAGACACATGCACACAGTCAATAACTGGACCACCCAGTCACCATCCTGATGGCAATGACTTCTTAGAAGACAGAGGGAACTGGGCTCATTGGGCATTTTTACACATGCTTGCAGACATGGTGCTGGGTGCTTTAGTGAGCGAGCTGCGCTAATTAAAAGCACCCTTGCGCCACGTGCATCAGCATCGCCATGCATCCCCATGCTGAAAAAATGGCAGTGGGGTGCTCTGAACTAAAGCTCATCAGCTGTGTTATATTTCAAAGTGCCCCACTGCCATTTTGTCAGTGTGGAAATGCGCGGTGATGCTACTGCACGATGCGCAAGACTGCGGGAGAACGTCAACTTCCATGCTCCAGCAGACTCAATTAATCGAATCTGCTCTGACGCACTGGACTTCCAGCATGTCAGAGCAGGCTCCCTCCATGTGCACAGGAGCTCATTTAGTCTAAAGAAGAGAAGACTGAGAGGGAATTTAATAGAAGCCTTCAGCTACCTGATGGGGGGGGTGTCAAAAAAGGATAGAGCTAGACTGTTTTCAATGGTGGCAGATGACAGAACAAGGAGCAAGTCTCAAGTTGCAGCAAGTGAAATTTAGGTTAGATACTAGGAAGAATTTTCTCACTAGGAGGGTAGCGAAGCACTGGAGCCAGTTACCCAGAGAGGTGGTGGAAGCTCCATCCTTGGAGGTTTTTAAGACCAGACTAGACAAAGCCTTGGCTGGGATGAGCTAGTCAGGGATGGTCCTGCTTTGAGCAGGCGATTGGACTAGATGACCTCCTGAGGTCCCTTCCAACCCTCATTTTCTATGGTTCTAAGTCAGTCTGAGAGCATTGACTCCCTATTCCACATAGGCTGGGCCACAGCACTGGAAAGCTCTACACAGGGCATCCAGCATCGCCCCAGAGCTACAGCTCCATCCTCTGCAGGAGCAGCCACAGGGCAGCATTACCCTGGGAGAGCACAAAGAGCAATGAGACATCTTCTGTTCCCAGGCACCTTCATTCACGAGAAGGACAGAAAACAGAGGTGCTGAGAGTGCCAGCCCCCTGCACACCCCCAACCATGATTCTTCAAAGAGTGGGAGCTGTCGCTGCTGGCCTCTGTTTAGCTCTTGGGCATGGTTTGCTCTCCTTTTTTTAGTCATGTTAACAAGCAGCAGCAATTTGCAATATACAGAGAGGAACTAGATATATTTAGAAGCAGTAAAAATAACCAGGGGGAAGGTATTCATGGGGGAGGTGTTTTACAGAAGCACTGATGTGGTGAAGCAGCCTTGACTGGGCTTCCACAGCATCCGATCAGGTTGGCTCTGGTTGCCCCAGTCCCTTGCGGGCCATCGAATGCCTCCCCTTAGGTACACCCCAGGCAACTCATTCCCCACTGTCACCTCCTGAGCTGTTCTCAAATATTACAGCACCATACACACGTTTGCCATTATGGCAAAGCACCAGCACATCAGAACTGAGTGCCTGTACCCTGTAAAGGGCTGCTCTGTGGTAAAGATATCTTCATGGCTCTGAATGGGACACAAGGGACTCTGTAACACTTCGCAAATTAAACCTGTGGGATGTGGATTCACTCTAAAACATAATGCAGGTCTAAAGACACCTCACAAGTGTCACCCTGACAAGCCCCAGTAAACCTGCATTACAAGGTGGATGGAGCTGGGAGATTATCTGACACTGTAGGGAGGAGGCTGGTATTGATCAATATGTCCGGCCCCAAACTCAGACTCCTCAGGCAATGTCTCTCCCCACTACAGTCCTGCTCGTACAAAACTCAGAGAACAGCTCGATGTCCCATGGTAGCCTGCAGCACAATAAAGAGCCCCATGTGTACATAGTTTGGGGTTTGAAGAATCACGATAGACTGATGTTGCATTGACAAGCGATGGCATTATGTTAGGAGCCAGCATGCGTGATGCAAATGATGTGCTCCATTTCAGTGGGACCTCTGGGAAAATGCAAGTCAGTAACAGCCTCAGAAGAGCTGAACTAGGAAACCTGACTTTCCTCCCCAAGGCTTGCTCCGAGTCACTTTTCTTTTCTACCATCCCTGCAGTTTGTGGGATGTGCCAGGGCCAACTCCCTTCTCCTTGGCTTCCGCCCCTTTCTCTGATTCCTTGGTTTTAGAAAGCAAACAGAAGCTGCAACTCCTATGAAGATGAATGCATGAATGGCTCACAGACCATGGCCACAGACTGTCAGAAAAAAGAAGCTGAACAGAGAAGCACTCTATAGATATAACACACTATCACTTCTGCAGGACTGAACCTCCCCTGTTTCCTTAAAAGCTTGCCCTGAAACCTTGTTTGCCTTCTCCACTTGTGCCCAGTACATTAGACTGCAAGCCTCTTGGGCAGGGCCTGTCATTTACTATGAGCTTATATTGCACCTAGGGCATAGAGGCCCAAACGGTGGCCTTTAAGCATCAGAATGGTACAAAATGTAATGAAAGTAGTAATAATAGTACTGCTATATACATATCTAGAAGATCTCTCAAGTGTATTTTAACAACCCTTGCAAAAGCAGGATGCTGGCTGATGTTTTCTCCCTGCTTTATCTCTGGCAGGTTAGGGTGCTATGCCTTGTGACTGTGTCAGGGTTCACCGTGTAGTTTTAGTAACAGGTTAGACAAAAATGTGCATGGGATGGTTTGGATAGGGGTAATCCTGCCTCAGGCTTCCAGAGGTCTTTTCCAGGCCTACTCTTCTGTAATTATAACGTGTATTATTCGTGTTTGTATATAATAACAATAAACATCACAAATGAGTCCTGTACTTCCACAGGTTTTTTGTGGTCAAAGGAGCCTATGCCAGGTGGATCTTCAGAGCTTGAGCTAAATACAACTGCTGCTAATAAACGGGAACTGCCTCATACAACCTGCCCTGCACAAGATCTCTGCTGCACTCAACCAACCGAATGCAAGTAACATGTTTCTCTTTCCTTGAATTGGGTAGATTCCAATTCTCTGTGCAGTTGCCCCTGTGTAGTCTTTGAATTACCCCTGCTCTTCCACTCCAGGCCCACCCACGCCTCAAAACTTTGCCTGGTCATCTTAGCCAGTACTTGGATCACCCATCTTCCAGCCAAGCTCCCCCAGGACAGATCTCCTCATGCCTTCAGTCTTGCTATTCCATTGCTGCCCCCATCCCCTGCACAGTGCTGCCATGACACATCACAGTCACCTCTCCCCCTCTCTCTCTCTTTACACAACTCAGCGCCCCTTCTTAACTGACATCCACCCCCCACACCCCTGTCGTTGCAGTCTTAGGCCTCTGTTGGGCAGAGACTGAGATGCAGACAAATGTCCAGGAAGGATGATGAGAAAACCAGCAACAGTCAAGAGCAAAGCATAACCAGGGTCCCTAAATTTTACCTGCTGCGGTGCAGTGAGCTGGCCCTCTGCACCCTGCCTCTAGTGCACACCAAGGGGATCTTCTGCAGAGGTTTCAAAGCATTCAGGAAGGAAGGAAGGGGTCTTTGGGTTTATTTTAAAGCTTTTGTCTCTGGCACTTACAGGTTGGCATGTGATCTTGTCTTCCTTTGGTCTTGTCTTTCTTCTTTGAAGCATCCCAGCCTTCAAAAAAACTCTAAAAAAAAGGAGAAGTCCGTTATCTGCCCAGGAAATATACACTTAAGGCTCCCTCTGACAGCACTCACTTGTACCTGTAACCTCCCAGAGTCCAAAAGGAGCAAGAGCAAACATCCCCTCAACTCAGAGCTTGACTTCATGACTGGTTGCAGTATCCAGCACTGCAGACCAATTAAGCCCCTGTGAAGACAGGGTGACAAAGAGAAGCAGCATAATTTATAGGAATAGGCCCAGCACTGCTGGGTGCCAGTTCCACTGACTCACCAGGCCTCTTAGGGCAAGCCATTTCACCACCTGGTGCCTCCCTTTCCCTGTCTATAAAACAGGGTGCCACTTGCCTACTCCAAACAGCATGGTAAAGATGTAATGGTGAGTTCCAGCATAGCAACTGGAATGCAGTCTATAGGAACAAGGGGACAAATCCTGGGTGCTGACACTGCTTTGCCATTCCTTGGTACAAACAGCAGTATGTAAGTTTGCTCCATCAGAGCAATTTGCAAAGCAGACCCCTCCCAGCTCATTTTAAGGTCTCTGGACCTAGATGGGTTCATGTGGAGAAATGATTTCCTGACCCTCACATCCAAGCAGTCAATGCCCTAAAGAGTGATATTTCATTAGCCATTTTGAATGAAAGATAGCAGTGAGGAAACAACTTGATGAGAAAGCAGGCTGGTACTTTTGGGGGGAGCCCTAGCCACAGCCCAGTATCCAGCCACATAGCACAATCCACGGATCAGTTTGAACGTGCCAGAGGATGTTACTAGACTCTAAGCTCTCTGGGGCAAGGAGCCCCATGGGGCCCTGCTCCCAAGAGGGCCACCTGCACATGATCACAAAAGCAAGGATAAGTGATGAATCAAATAAATACCAGCAACCAAATGTCTGTCTGAAAGCCAGGCAGTGATAATACCACCTTATTCTTGTGAAGCCCTTGTCAGGCAAGAATCTTAACACAGGGATCACAAACAGCAGATCATTCAATCCTCCTGGCTACCTCAAGAATTATGTCTGCGTTAATTATCCCTGGTTTACAACAAGGGAAACTGAGGCAGGGGAGGTGAAATTAACTGACCAAATAATACAGAGAGGATGAGTCAACACCAGAACCCAGGCACGGATTTCCAAGTTAATTATCTACCTACAAAACAACCATGACCCCCTCTTTTAAATAGCCACTGATGAGTATTTCAAGAAACAGCATGGTAGATTTGTCTTGAGCTATCTCCATTTCAGACATGGATGTGCATCTGCTTAGGAAGGTGCATTGCACTATATGCACATTTCTGCTGCATCCAGAAATAATCCTTTTTTTTTTTCTTTTTTTTTTTAAATAGCTTGTTTTTCTGGGTTTTTTTTTACTTCCCCTTCCCCCCTTCCACCTTCCCCCGCCCCACTCCCAGCATAGAACAGGTTTGTATGTAATGACAGTAACGTTCATGGATCAGAGTAAGAGGAGGAAAGTGGAAGGAAATTACATATTTTCTCCCCACCCATAATATGTGAGTGCTTCCAAATGACTAGTTTCGAGCACATGCAGCAGCTTTTCAAGAAGCACTAATGATTATAACTAACCCTGGTTTGTCCAATACATAAATGGGGGAAAAAAGGCTCCAACATTGAAACAACTGAACATTAAACAGTAATTTCAAAGGGAGATTTCAATAGTTGGGCCTGTGGGAGACCAAAGAAATGGGAAATCAGCCTGCCTAGGTGTGTTATAGCAAATGTCAGATGGCAGATCTCCTCATTACAACTACTTCAGTTCAGTGCCATGGGGACTGGAATGAGATGGCTCTTCTCTCCTCAGACAAGCTCTCCCTTTGCTGGAACAAAGAGAGGCCACGTCCACATCATTTCCAGGCTTCCAGAATGAGTTTTGCTCAGGGGACAACGCATTAGAGAGCTGGAGAACCCAGCATGGATCTGACACTGCTGTGTGCTGGGCACAGACAGAACAGCGGAGCTAGGTTTGGGAAAGGAGACCCATTTACAAGAGCCCTTGTGCAGAAGATGAATGGCGCACAGCAGGTCCAGCAGTGCTGGGCCTTGGGAGCTGAAAGGAAGCCTGGGTCACGAGCTCTTGGACCTCAAGCATGTTATATGGACAACTGCCATTCCCTGCTTGGCAGAACACCAGCCAGGCTGGTGCCGCCTATGTTCTGGAAATCTGCAAACCAACTGTTTGCCCTCTTCCCATGGCAAATGTCACGATACTGCCTCTTCCCAGGAAAGTCCCAGCTCCCGTTCTCCATAGGAAGTGGTTACCGGTGGAGGCAAAAAGTATGAAGTGCCAGGGAGGATCCCCTACAGGTCCCAGGGTACCACTCTTACCTCATACTCCTGCTTGAAGCCATAGCCCTCAGCAGTCTTCATCTGGTTGATGTGCTGAAGGAGATCAGCTACTCTGACAGCAGGGTGGAGCTGCCCGGTGTGATACGGGGATCCCTTGCGCCCACACTGGCGACGGGGAGACCCTCCCAGCAAGCTGCTGGACTCGTTGACCACAGTGCTGCGCTGGTCACCTGGGAGCAAAGTGGGGAAGGTGTGAAAGCAATTTAGAAGATGACAGAGGAGACCAGGGTGCTGTTCAACCTCCCAGGCTCAGCTCATTGGGCTTGGACTTCTATGGGTAAGCTTAGCATACTGCCAGAGATCTAGTGCAGGATGATCTCTTATACTGAGTCAACCCAGAGCCAGTACCCTCAGCAGGTCAGTAGTGCTATGCACTCAGAGATGGCAAGATAAAAACCCTCCCACCATACCAGAGTGTTTTCTGCAGGCAATGATGAGCAAGCCCTGAAGGCCTGACCATTCCTAATCATGGTAATATATGGTAACTATTACGCCTATAGAAAATTTCTCCTGTGGGTATAACTGGATATGAAAGACTTCATCATTCCCTAACAAACTGATATGCTGCATTATAATGGGCTAGCAAAGACTAGATGCATTTCACTCCGGAGATGGCTGCGGTTCAGTGTTGAATGTGCTGCGAGTGTGTGTGCGCGTGTGCATGGGCGTGCAAGGCACATGTCTACAACTGTATGCCATGCTCAGTGTTGGTAAAAGTCCAGTGGCTCAGAGACCAACTAGAACTTCTAGAAAATTCTGCAAATATTTTTTTTGATGAAGTTGAAAGTTAATACAAAAAATATATATTTTTAATACAAATGTTCAGGTTTTCAGTGAAAAATCAAAGGCTTTAGAAACTGAAAAAAGTTGAAGGATTTGGGGATCTTGGTTTCAAGCTGTGAAGATATATTTAAATAATTTATTTTCATTTCCACTGACAGTTTGCAAAAGAAAAAAATCATTCCCCAACCCGTTCCAAACAACAACATTTCACTGCCAATTCTACAGAAATGCCCCTGATCTTCTAGCTAACCTTAGAAAAAGTAGACAATGAATCCCTGCCAGACCAAGCCAACCCCAGTGGCCAATGACTATTAACATGCTTAAATTAACACAGTAATATTTTAATGTGGCTTAGTTAAGAAAAGTGTGCGTGCATGCGAACAAAGAGCTCCTGCCACGTTGTCAAATTATGCTCATTCATATTTGGAATAATCCATAATTTTTTAAAGTCCAGAAAGGATAATTATGGCCATCTAGTCTAATTTGCTATATAAACAGGACAATGATTTGTGTGTTAATCCCATAACCTCTGTCTGAACTAAATCAAATCTCTTAGAAAGAATTAGAGCAATATTTTTAAGGTACTTGGGTGCCTGAAGGTCTGGCTAGATGAAACAATTTATAAATACTGAAAAGTAAAAAAAGACTTAGAACAGCTTGAAACTCAGTAATTGTTTCAGGTGTCCAAACCACAATAAAATAGAGTAGATGCTTCATTCGGATATATGTTGTTCCAGTCTGGCTTCACTCATTGTGGGATGGGAGCACACAACACTTACAACTAATCAGTTCCCAAGTGGGAAGTCATCCACCGGACTCTTGCAGCAAAACCCCAGTAACTGCTTTATCTGTCCACAACCAGACTCCCCTTGATTTAAGCACCAAACTGTCACTGAAATCAGAATTAGGTACCTAGAAACCTTTAAAGTACTTTCTCTAAAGTCTTGACTGATAAACTTCAAGTGACAGAGAATCCACCAAGGTGTCTAAGTGGTTAATTATCTTCAAATGTTAAAAATTCATACTTATTTCTAGTCTTCAAACAGCATTCGCTGCCAGTAATGAGGCTCTTTACTCAATATTTCCATGAACATCACTAAGCCAAAATCAGATCCACTCTGCTTTTTTCATGATGAGCCATCACCTCCTTGCTAGGTCCTTGCTGGAGTTCAGCACGCACTGATGCTCTCTGAGGTGGCCAAGACAGCAATAATGCCCAAATATTGCCTTCTCTCAGAGCAGTTCTCCAGACGGGAGTGTTGTTTCCATACTGCAGACATGTAGCTTCTCTGTAAGACTATAAAACCATGTTCTGGATGTGGTTAGCTTAACAACGCCTCTAAACAATCCTTTCTGGCTTACTCACAAAGCTCCCAGGGTTCTTTTTTATTTGGTAGAAAATGCCAAAGAATTTCATCCTTCCACTTCTTTCTGAGTTGTGGGAAGTTGAATGTATGCATCTCTGGGGTTATTAAAAGCTAATGCAGGTGTACTAAGCTGCCCCTTGCCTGTGTAGCATGTGAAACAGTAGCGACAGCGTGCAAGGAAAATCAGATGCTTCAGTAGATGTCTTAGCCCCTGGATGAATGATCCCCCGCACCTTTGTGAGATGGAACAACATCCCCAGAATTGACTGCAAATGTTTCTTTCAATGGACAGGAGTGTAAATGTGGATTGAATACAGTGATGGGACAGGGATGGCTCTGGGCAGCCCCTCTGCTCAGTAACATGAATCGTGTTGATTTAGAGCAGACTAAACGCAATTGAAAATCCATCATATTATTTTGTAATCCTATATAGAAGCGCCTTTCAGCCATCAGCTGCAGTGTGGAGGGCGGTGGTCACCTAGCACTTCAAGGACAGAGCTGGGAACCAAACTTATGAGTCCTAATTCCCCAGTTCATCCTCTAGCCGCTACAAAACACTCTCTCCTGTAGGCAAGAGCTTGATCCTTTTGGGAAAGGACAGGTAGAAGAGCCCTGCAGACCACAGAGCTTGTACTGGACTGATTTCTTCTGTTAGGGAAAAAAAGAGAGTCTAATCCAACTGGGCTGGCTTGTGTCTTCTCTGTATTCCTTCTCTGCCTGTCAGGGGGACAGATGGAAAAGTCCTCTGGTCAGCAGGGAGACAGCCTGCTTCCCTCCAGGACAGTCACCGAGGAAGGAGAGGTAAGATTCTGCTTCCCCACACTTGGCACCAAATGAGACCACTTGAGTTGCTACATTAACATTCCTCTCTATTGCTGCAACAAGCAACTTTATGGCTTCCAGTATTGCAGTCCAGATTCTGCTTCCCCAATCACTAGCATAAATACAGAGTAATACCACTGAAGGTAGCAGTGTTGCCCTGGCATAACTGGGAGCAGAAGCAGACCTTGCTTCTAGCCTCACGCATGCCCTCAGGAACAAGACCAAATTCATTGCTGGCAGAAGCAGAGCCAACTCCACTGACTTCAGCACATCAAAGTCAGCAGTGAATCTGGGCTGCAGGCTCTCAAATGCTTAGAGAAGAGACTGTTCATACAAACCAGTCTCACTAAGAGCATTTCAAGGAGCCACAATAGGGTAGTAAGTAAAAAAAATAATACACCTATATAGCTATATAAAAAGGAGGAAAAGTTTGCCCTCCAGGCTTCTATTATCTGCAAGACAATGGTGGAACCATATTAATCCAGTAGTCTGTGGAGGGAATGGATGTGCAAGCAGCATCTTTAAGTTATAGTAACAGATGTTATTAGCATATGGTTGAAACTGGGGCATAGAATGAATTATCTTACAACTAAATCAGCACAGAGATGAATACGCCAGTGGGTGTAAAATTATCTGTCTCCCTTTAACATGAACACAGTGCATCTTTAACACTTCCAGGCCCACAGCTGTTCAGATCGACAGAAAACTGTCCATGTTAAAGTTCAGTGCATGGATTTAGAGAGTGTGTGTGTGTGTGTGTATGTATGTATGAGAGAGAGAGAGCCTGGGGGGTTGACACTTAGAGCTTGCATCCAGATCTGAATTGTGCAAATGGCCCCTAGAACCAATCCAAGCAACAGCTGCCAGGTCTGAGAAGGTAGCAAGATCCAGATGTGAATTTGGCAGCTCGGGCCACATGCAGTCACACCTGAGTGTATTTCTTGCTTGCTTTTGCAGGTGGAATCACCTCTAGGATGAATTTCACTGTTGTACACATGGCTCTACTCAGATTAGACTGTTGTGGATGCAGAGATGGCCATTAACCCACTGAATTTGCTAGGATCTGCAAAGCAGTGCACATCATGCTAAAAGGAGTGTCTGCAGCAAGAGGTAGGTATCTGCTTTCCATGCTGGCACACCGCTACATTTGACTGAGTTGAACATTTGATTGTGAGTTGACATTCTGTATTCAGGACAAACTTTTCACTGAGCAGCCTGGTGCTTGGCACCATAATGCTCATGGGCTTGTGGGAATGGAAGGCTCAATGTAATATCAAGTATGAATCAAGCTGGGTGAAGACAGCATTGAAGAGTTAGAGTCCACCAACTCTCTAGTACAAATGGTTTTGGCACACAGCACCTTTATAGGAAAAACTGACTTCCATTCTCGAAAAATTGAAGCTGGGATGTAGCACAGTCCAATCCAGAGGCCCCTCACACAGAACTCAGGAAGCCTGGATTCACTCCCTGACTTCCAGACTGATCTGTTGTGGGAGCTTGGACAAGTTACTTTGCTTCTCTTTCCCTTCCCATCTCCGTCTGTCTTACTGATTTAGACTATAAGACCCTCAAGGGAGAAACTCACTTCCACTACAGCTGCAGAGCTCACCCTTGTGACACTATAAAAATATATATAGAGGCATAAAACCTGAGTGAACAGACATCCCTACCTCTTGCCATGCTACAAATGCCTGAAATGGTGGCACTGTGATTACTAGTAATAGTATGTGCCAGCTTTTTGCAGTGGACATCAGCTTGTTTATAGCACACGAGTGCAAGCAGTCTGGAGCTGACCACAGTCTCCATCCACCCCAGACAGGCACTCCCAGGGCTTCAGGGGTCCAATCCTGTGGGACAATGGCCCCAGGTGCCTGGATCAGACTTGGGAGTGCTCCAGGGAACCCCATGCATTCCCTGCTCCTCACTTGCAGATGTGCACCTCAGGAATTCCCCTGAAGGAGATCCCAGGGCATATATTTAATTCTGCAGAGCAAGAGAATGCCATGGGGTTCCCTGGGCTGTGCTTCCAGATGTGAGCCCCAGGCATTCACCTGCAAGGGATCCCAAGGAGTACATCTACAAGTGGGGAGCAGGGAATACACAGTGTTCCCTGGGTTGCCCCCAGGTCTGGGCCAGGCACCCACGGCCACTGTCCTCCAGGATCAGGCCCCTGAAGTCCCTGAAGCAAGAGAGGCCTGATCCTGCAGGACAATGGCCCCAGGTGACATCTGTCTCTGTCAATCAATTGAATCAGCTGTGGTAGGACACACTGCCACAGAAGACCCCACTACAAAAATGACATCTGTTTATAGCCTATGTGAGAGTGCTGCATGCAGCATAAAATGATCTCTGCTGGGATATCTAAGAGCTATTGTAACACGACTGATGTCAAGTTCAGTTCAGTGAAGGGCTGCTGCATGGGCAGAGCAGTATGGGGTCTGGCTCATGCTCAGCTGGAAATCAATGGCATCTGCCTGGAGCAATTAACACACTGGATGATACCCTGCAAAGACTACCCTACTGCAGCCCTGATTGGTCAACCACTTACAGCAGCATGGAGTAGATTTAAAAAGAAACTTAATGAACCCTGTGAGCAGGGAAGACAGTATCGAAGAGTGCCACCGTTTACTGGCCCAGGCCTCACCTCTGTTGCTGTAGTTGTGGGTATCCATGAAGGACAGGCCCAGCCGCTCATCCTCCTGCAGAGTGCTCTGGTCCGTGAAGCTCCGGTCAATAGCGCTCATCATGTGGGTCTTCTCATGGCGATAGTTAATGGTAGCCTTGGTCATGTTGACAGGTTTTCTATAGGAGGGAAAGTAGATGCACGTAATGCTAAACCAGGGTGACACAGGTACTGCTCTAAAAACCACAAGCCTGACTCTCAGAGGCAGCCTGAGATTTTGCAGCAGGCATGTTTTATGCCATGGAGGAATCTCGGTTGATTGCTTGCACTGTTGGCTTGTAAAAATGTTCCAGCAATGATCAGTGCTCCCAACATGACACTTACAGTTACACAAATGGGGTGGGGGAACCTGCCCAGCAATGCAACCCATCTGAAAATCAGGTTCATACCCACATTTGCCAAAGTGGCTGGTGAGTCTGAGTGCTTGAATGGCAGGTGCCTGGAGAAGGCCTGATTTGCAGAGGGTGCAGGGCATTCCCCCATGCTGAGAAGCCCTCCCTCTTTCCAGTGCTTCAAACAAGACATGCAAAATCCAGAGTCCCTTTTGAATGCTCATTTTTGCAACTGATGCTCATCCACTGCGATGACATCTAGTTCATTCAACAAAACAAAAGCCAATCAGATTTTTCAAAGCTGAAGGCCTCCCATCAGGGCTTTACATCCATATTTGCACCAACAGCTCTGGCCTAACATCCAAAAGCACCAAGCAGTAAGCAGCTCCTGTAAGAGTCAAAGGTGAGCATTTCCAGTCACCCAGGTGACTCTGGAGTTGAAATCCAAAATGTTTCCTAGTCCATTTTCTGGGGGCTAAAAGGGAAGGCATCAATTCACAACATTAAATATGAACATCTAAGACTAAGTTGAGGTCTCTGTTATTATTATCAGACTTTGACCTTAATATCTACTGACAATAACCTGAGTCACCCATAAACAAAGCACAGCCTCTGCCTTTGCCCACTGGCAAAGCTGATTACCTCACTACCAAACCTCATCTTCCAAACAAGCTGCATCCCTTCCTCCTGAAGTTCACAGCTTGTAAGAAAAGCTGTTTGCTACCATCTGAGGACTGAATATAGCAGTGTCAAAAAGTAATAATTCCTCATCTTACTCCACTGATTTACCCCTGGTCAATGAGCAATCAGCAAACGCCATCCAAGCACACTGCAGTGAGCATCTTCTTTACGTAACAGCTATCAAATGAAATATTAGCTGCAGTCCATAGAGAACAGGGGAGCTAAGGGGAAAGGGGGCATGAGTGAGGCACTAGCCTGTCTCGCTTGCTTGTGAGCATCTTCCTCCTGGCTGGACTGGGTGGCCCATGCTGTGCAAGAAACAGCTTGATTTCAAGGAGTTATTCCTTGGGACTTCATTCCCTCAAAGCCATATCCTGAGACTTGCCAGCAGGGACACCGCAGCCAGATGAACTGAGACAAGGATAGGAATACTATGGCCTGTTCTGGATTATGACAGGCTGCAATCTTGTAGGTTGTAGTTTCAGCAAACACTCCTTCTCACTGAAAGCACTGCCTAGCCCAGCTGAGGTTTATTAGACTGACAGAGGTGCCTGGATTGCAAGGCTTAGACATGGATCTTGTACCATTCAAAGCTTGCGTGGGTCACTGATTAGGAGGGCTGCTAAATAAAGCAGCCATGTACAAGATCCAGATATGGATCCAGAATTGTATTCCAGCATTTCCCTTACCCTGCCCTCCCCTGCTGAACCTACACCTGGTTTTTAAGTCACCCAACTCTCTGAACATGATGGCAAGACCAGGTGGAGAAGGAGGGCAGCACCGCAGAGATACGGCCCCCCACCCTCCACCCCACCAGAGAGCTCTGCCAATGAGCGACTGCCTGCAGGGAAGGAGAGGGACGATGGGAACACTGGTTATAGAGCATGAGGTGTGGGCCAGGTGTGTGAAGGTTTGAAATTACTACAGGATAAACTTTCAGCTGCAAGAGGTGAGCTTGCAGGACACTTACAGTATAACAGCACTTCCTTCCACAGTATTTACAACATCATTCCTCCAACATATTCAGTGGCATGGCACAACATACCACGTTCAGTAGGTACAAGGCAAAAATTTCCCGGTCATGTGCAGTAGTTACTACATGGCAAGGAGCCATTACAACATGATCTGGTGCTTGGAGAATGGCCGTGCCCAGGGCGTGATGCTCCCAGCATGTGTTGGCCCCCTCCCACACTCATGCAGCCAACCTGGAAACGTGGTGGACAAGCTGCTTTGGGGGTAACCTCAACGGCTGCTCTCAAGCACGCTGGAGAGAGGTCTTGAGAACAGCCGTGGGGGTTGGGAAGGGGGATTCTCAGTGCAGCTCCACTGCCACATTTGCAGGCAGGGCAGGAGTGGTGGTGTGTCCTGTGTAGGAGCGTCTCTCCTGGGACAAGCTGGGACACAGCGCAGATGTGACCTTCAAGGCCATAATTCTGGGCCAGCATCTCAAAATAAAGTTAATATCAAAACAAAAAGCCCGGGGGGGGGCGTCAGCTCCATCTCTGATGAAATCCCATTGGCCGCCAAGGTGAATGAGGCCCTCTGGGCCAGATTTTCACAGGAGCTCAACAAGGGAAGTCATATGCTCAGCAGCCACAATTGAGGTCACATTTTCTCAAAGCTGGGCTCTCACTTAGGCACCTAACCAAGGAGCCAGATCTCCTGGCTCTCAGGGGATCCCTTTGGGATGCTCATGGGCTCATTTGCAAGTAGGGCTCATGCAAGACAAATTTGGGGGATGACGTTAAATCTTCTGCTTCAGGGCAGAAGCCGATCTCTGTTAGAAATCAAAGTGAAGTCTAACTGGGGAGAGGGGGGCATTCCTGCCCAATGGGCTCTTTGGCCTTTCCTGGAAGCATGTGATGCTGGACACCAAGGGAGACAAGATCTAGGGCTGGATGGACCACAGGCATCCAACCTGCTACGTCTTATTTCCCTGTAATGTTGAGCCCTTTTAAAAATCTGGCCTCTTTCCTGCAGCCTCAAAGGGAGTGGAGCTCCTTGGAAATCTGACCCTGTGTGTTTACAGTGCCTTCTGGAAGCCACCACATACTTCAGAAGCATTTTTTCCCCGCACAGTCCAAAGAGGCACTTAAATTTACTTGGCAGAAAAAGAAACTTGTTGGAGCAGAGAGCAGCAGAGCGAGAGAGAGAGAGAGAGAGAGAGAGAGAGAATGACAATTACTTACGGGTAATAGGAATAGGAATAGTAGTTCCTCCTGGCAAGCGTGCAAACAAGAGAACAGCAGAAATTGCATAAGCAGCTTTTCTCCAGAGTAATGAGGGGGAGGATTATTTGGGATCTCAGATGACACCAGGCCACAGACTGCTCCATTCACTCTGCGGTGGATGAGTGGGGAGGCAGGCAAGGGGAGAGAGGGGCAGAAAGAAAGCAAGAAGCTGGAAATGAAAAGCAGCACATTGGCATGCTTGTGGCTGGCCCAGACATGTGCAGGAATCGCCTTTGAATAAACTAGTCTATGCATCACAGGAATGGGGATGGGGACCCCCCTCCTTCCTGTCCAAGCAGGCCTGTTTGGAGGGTCACGTGTATGTTCTTTTTATTTCCTCATCCTCTGGCCTGGCCTGTAATGGGACTGGAGGAGTGGCTTCTTTTGGAGACTCACCTGTCCTGGTTGAAAGGATTCCTCACTAAACCCTAGCTGTGAAAGGCAGGATTGTCAAATCACATTGGTTTTTCTTTTCTCTTTTTCCCCCCTCAGTGAATGTTTCTCCAGCTCCCACAACAAGCCATGCTTATGCATGCCTCTTTGTATTCTAATAATGGACTTTGATCCATGCGCGCACACACCCCGCTGATGGGCAGCAGCGCACATCTACACACACAGCCTTCTGTTATATTCCAATAGTGTACTACAGGGCATATGAATCCACACAGAGGTATTGAACTGCTTATATAACCTAGAAAACAAAAATTCTCGCTAACCACCATCCTCTCCCCCTGGCTTCTGCTCACAATAAAGTGCCCTCATTCTGCTCCGTTTGCAGGGCAGCATCAGAAGCATGCGGTGAAAGCCATCCCAATGCAGAATTGCCCAGAGGAAATCCTAGAAAGCAGGGGATGGGCTACATGTGCCTTTGTTCTCCAAATTTTTTAATGGAGAGCTACTCACAGGTGCACAGGGAAATCTCTACTGCTGGTAACGACCATCCGAAAGCCAAGTGCACCAGAGAAGGCCTTTCTTCTCATACCCCCCCATTAAAATATGCACTATCAACAGCTTAGAGCAGGGCTGGCCACTGCATGCAGCCCATCAGGGATTAATTTGCAGCCTGCTGACTCCCACCCTGGCACCTTTCCCCTCATCATCACCCTGCCAACTGCTGCCACTAGTGCCTCTGGAGGCGCACTAGCAATATGTGTGCGCGTGGGGGGGGGG